GTTTTCTCTGTAGTGCATGGCTGAAAGGCACCGCACAGTCCACTGTTGGGAAGCTGGACCAGAGGATCTCCGTGCTCACAGGTCTAAATGTGAAGCCTCCATACGGCGAATACCTCCAAGTGGTGAATTATGGGATTGGCGGCCATTATGAGCCTCACTTTGATCACGCTACAGTAAGTTGATTGGCGATTATTACACTCTTTACGTCATCCAACATGTGATTATATCGTGGTAGATGTTTTCATGTTGTTTGTGCTAATATTTATTGTGATCAACTTCACCCTTACCAGTCCCCTTCGAGTCCCGTATACAAGCTGAAAACTGGGAATCGACTGGCAACCTTCATGGTATACGTGAGTGAATTTTTTGTTCACACCATCTTATGAGCTTGTATGAGCCAGACAGCAGCAGGAGGTTGTTGGGCAGGTTCCTTTTCCATGAGTGCTGCAAGACCTTGGAACCACTTTCCTGAGAAACAGGATTAGAAATGACCTCACAGTCTAAATTCAACTTTTATGGATGTTATGTCCTTCAACAACCTTTAACAAAACTATGTTTTTGTCATTAATGTGACCAACGATTTGTCTTTTTATTATGCTATCCATAACTAATCTGTTAAGTTCACTTTTTATTGTGTTGTGGAAACATGCCTTTAGATCCACTGGGAGAATTCAGTAAAATTTGAGTGATAAAAAGAGGAATGGCTCTCTGCAAGCCTTGAAAAAAGTGCAGTGTGCAGAGAAGCTCTGAGAGCATAAACACAAAGACACAACTCTGAAAGAATGTTCTTTTCCACAGCTCAGCTCTGTGGAGGCAGGTGGCTCCACAGCCTTCATCTACGCCAACTTCAGCGTCCCTGTCATAGAGGTAATCACTCTGCACATGTGCACTGAGATGAGCTTCAAGCAGCTTCTTCTGTCTGTATGTTGTTTCTGCCCCAAGCTCCATTATTTGCAGCTCTCTCTTCACCTCACTCACATTCCCTGGTGCAGCTGTCAAAATGCTAAAAGGTGAAATCACAACATCAACAGCCATGAGATTTTTTTTTTAAACACAATACATCTATTGTGTAGATAAGCTTCTGTCTGGATATATGAGCTGCAGTGTCAGGTTTACCATCCCTGGGGTTTTACCTTTCATACACCATAACTACATCCATTAAGAGGTTAAAAATGACCAAAAGAAATGTTCAGCTTCTTGTTTAGCTGAATTCCCCTCTCAACAGAAATTATATTTCTTAATGAATGTTATGCAAAATGTTTGCTTTCCTTTGTCTCATAATGTAGTTTCTGAATACCTTTTGACTGTTGTCAAAACAAACACAATAAGGCAATGGGCGCTTCCAATGCTCTCTGAAATTATAAGACAGCAAAATATCCCTCAATTAACTTGTGGTGTAATCCATAAGGATAATAATTGTTTTTTGTAAACTTGCTGCTTATTAAAAGCTTTTTTTTAAACAGAGAGCTGCTGTCTTCTGGTGGAATCTCCATCGAAACGGTCAAGGTGACGAAGACACGCTTCACGCTGGCTGCCCCGTGCTCATTGGAGATAAATGGGGTAAGAGTCAGAAGAATCAGAACACTTTGATGATGCTTTAAAAAAGGAGCCAAAAAGGTATTTAAACATGTGAAAAAAAAGAATTCTTGATCTCTTTTAAACATGTTAGGGTTTTCTTTATCACAGTTTGTTATTCAGCTCTACCGTTACACAGGAGCTGATGCCCAAGAGCTAGGCCACATCTGTCTTGCATTATGCATGTAGAGATGCTACAGCGTGCAGTTCAGACACTGAGCGCTCATCGTGGAAGGTTAACATCTGCTGCCGGTTGGCCCTGAATGCTAAATCATGTGTCAGGGACGCAGGAGGATATTAATCTTCACAAAGCAGCTGAAGAAGCATTTGTTGGCTGTGTCATTTAAAGCGCTCCTATTCATCGTCACAAATAAATGTCGAGGCAGAACTTCTCAAACACAATAATCCAAATGTTTGAAAGATACTTTCTTGAAGATAATCAAACACATTTTACACATTTGCGATTTGTTCCAGTTGCAAACAAGTGGATCCACGAGTACGGCCAAGAGTTCCAGCATCGCTGCAGCCTGAATCCTGACGAGTGAGAGGGGGCGGAGCCGTAGCCGGGCCCCTTGGAGTACAAGAGCCTGCCTCCACAATTGAGAGGCACACTTGCAGGCGGAAAGCAGGAGAGAGCCAGAAAGTTAGCACACAGGCAGGGGAGGTGAGAGCCCATCTGGGGCAGCCTGCATCTGTGATTGGAGCCCCGGGCCCCAGGGAGCCTGAAGCGTGCAGTACAGAGCCGCAGCGGACGTGGATCACACACGGCTGAGAGGGGGTTTGCAATCAGCCCCCAGAGGCCAAACGCTCTCTTGCTACTACTGGCCAGTTTCTGCATCTAAGAGAGAGGCCCTTTGCCTTTGCATACTGTGCTGGTTTCAGTTAACTGTGAAGGCTGTTTGCTCCTGCTTGCTTAAAAACTGACATTTTTATGCAGCCCTCTTCCTACGCTGGGCCCACTCAAGGCTCTGTCATTACAAATCAACACAGCTCAACTCAGTGAGAACTCTCAAGACTTTATGTTGAATGTTTAGATGCACAAGTTTGCATCGCTTCCTGGCTGAATCTCAGTGAAATGTTTTCTCAAGGCAATCTAAAATTGCTACGCTAGAAATAAAGCCTGTCTTTGGAATAAGCAGAGACACAGAGCATGTTTGGTTGAAGCTCATCTGTTATAGGTTATCTCCGACCTCAAGACTCAAATTCATGACTCAGAGGAACCCGTCATTGTGATTTTGCTTGTTTATTCCCAGCTGACTGAGCAATGTGATCACTGCTGCCTGATAGAGGCTCCTTGATTTAACTGGCTGTCTCAAGACAAAGATGAACCAGATCTGTCTTCCTTTTATTGTGTTTCTGAGGCGGGTTGTCATTAATCACGCTTTGCACGCAAAGTGATTGGGAACCAGACTTTATCTGAATCCACACTAAAAAAAACTTTATCAGCATACCCTCAGATGTCTCAGATTTATGTGTCTAGGTCAGTCATTACCCATCTGAAAAAGTGTGAGATGGCACCCTCACAATACATTTAAGGGCCTCTATATGTGACCTTCTGGGGGGGAGACTAACTTTAGTTGCCCACAGTGATATATGTTTCCCCTCCAGCTCCCCACAGTGTACACAAACATACACACTTCCCAAGCACACACTGACACATAGAAAATATAAGAACAGGCACATACTGGATGAACATTAGACATTCCTGTGTAGAAACTAGACTAGGACTTATTTTTTCATTGAGGTTGATGAGTGGGAAGACCCTGCTGATCTGAAGCTAATTCTTATCTTTTTTATTGTAAGTATTAATACAACAAATGTGAAAAAAAGATATTCCTCAGGATGGAACATTATTTGATTAAAGAATATCATGCAAAATAGGTTTGAAAGACCAGATTCACATTGATTTGTCAATGTACAAGTTTGACTCGAGGCAGCAGAGGTAATGTTAACAAAGTTCTGGTGCTTTTTCATACAAATCAGAAACAAAATAAACCAAAAGGATTCAAAGTGCTTCATGTTGAGCCTGTAGCTGCCCTCACGGTTACTATGATCACCACAACAAACATGGCTGCAGAGGGACTTGTTGCTATGCACATGCAGAATCCAAACTACCTAAAGCATACATGACTCGACCATGGGTCTACCTCGGCACGTGTAGTAAAGTTAGTACCTTATTTCTTCACATTAAATGGCAGACTTTTTAAACCCTTTAGAAACCCTCTTAACGTGACACCTTTTGAGAGCTGGCCGATAACTCAATACAGAGTCAGTGATTTTATACTGTATGAAATGTAATGTAAAATGTGAACACAGTAATGAGTGACTGAGTGAACTTTCCAGTACCAAAACAAATAGAATATATACGTATTTACCTCGGGATCAGCAGGGAGAGACAATCACTGCGCACTCTCTAACTGTAAAGGAAGAGAGTCCCTCCCTCTGCTGGTGAAGAAAAAGAAGGCAGCATTGAGTTTTTGAAATCTTCCTCTGCTAAAAAAAATCCTCTGCTATGGTTTTGATTTGGTGCTTATTTTTTAAGCTCAAGTTTTACTTTAGTTATCAGGGACAGAGAAAAAGTGTGGAATCACATGCGAGATAGGAACCACAGGTTGGATTTGAACCTGGGCTGCCTGCTTTGAGGACTACAGCGGCTGTACATGGGGCAGACACCCTAACCAGTCAGCCACCAGTGCACTATTACTTCCTTTTTAAGTCTAAAATGCTCTTTCATACTTTTAATGTTAAATAGTTTGGCATTGAACCTATTTGGGATTGTCTCAACACAGCACTGTGTGGTGTATGAACAGAAGTTAGATGATTAGTATGTGCAGTATACAGTTGAATCAAGAGTTATACTGCCATTTAAAATGTATGATTTTGACTTTTGGAATGCAACTCCATTAACTTTAAAATACACACACACACACACACACACACACACACACACACACACACATGGCAGTTCACTGTATTCACTCATCCTCCAGCTGCTGGGAGAACAGGTAAGTCTCAAGTCCTTCCAGAAACCTGCAAATCTACATGAAGCAAATCTGGCTGATGGCAAAGCAGCCAGTATACAAATACTAATACCCAGTTTACAAATAGGCTACTTGATAGCAAGTGAAAGTTATAGCCTACACTAACAAGTGAAGGTTAATAGGCTAAAGGTAACAAATATTTAAGCATCAAAGATATAGTAAATCTGATAGGCAATTAAATTCATATGATAATGTATTTCAAGACATTGTGTTCTGTTGTAGATTTAATGACTGATCAAATGATTTGAAACTATTGAAACCCACCTCAGCAAACAAACTCAAATTCCCAGAGTGCTTCAGTCGCGAGCAGCGGCGGAGGGGGCGGGGCGTTTGCACTTCGTTGCTCGGAAACTGTTTAGCGCGCTGCCGTTTGTATTCGTCGTGTTTGTGTCTGCGTAGCTCCTGCTGCTGTGTTAAACGGATTATTAGTTTGTTGCAAACTGGTTATAAAACTATGCCTGCTAACGATTCGGCCCATGCTTTAGCCAGGCTATCATTCTTCACCTATATTTACTGAGCTGCGGGATGAAGAGCAGAAAACAGAAGTCCGTCAAAGCTGGAGGCAGCAAAAAGAAAGGTAAAGTGTTGTTAGCTTTGGCTAGCTGCTAGCATCACACAGGACTGTAGTTAAGTAGCTGTTACCGTCAGCTGTCAGTCTCTCATTGGCCTCGTATGTCAGCTTAAAAGATAATAAAGTATAGAAACGATGTGTTGTATCTTTCTCTCTGTTTGTGATGTTTTTGTGATGTGTGTGTTCTCAATCTTTGTTTGCGTTTGTTCGTTAAATAAAAGTGTTAAATATTTAGTGTACCTTTAGTTTGATGGGAAACAGAAGCCTTAAAATACTGAAAGTAAAAGTTAACAACTATTAAATAACTTTATGGTAATTACCCTTTTCAGAATACTGTTATCTTGTTTTAATGGGAATGCATATTTACAATAATATTTGAATATATATTAAGACATCACAGTAATAGAATTACTTGATTACATCTTGAGATGTTTTTAAGAAAGATTTTTGAACTTACATTTCAATATGCTTAAATTAATAAGATCTGTAGAGAATAGATCATATCAACATATATAACTCCAGAAAGTAAACAACTGAACATACAATGTCTGCCAACAACCAGGCAGAACCTGCAACAAATGCTAAACTTGATGTTTGCATCATATGTCGTTCATTCTCTTCTATAAGTTATGTACTGTGCATGTTTTGAGTCCGCTGATATAAACATAAACTCCTTACAGTCCCCAGCGATGTGACCCCGTCCACCAGCCTCCCTCCTCTGGTCGAGGGACAGCTGAGATGCTTCCTGCGAGTGACCATAAGTCGTGTGTTATGGACAGTTCACAAACCTCCGTCTGCGACATTCATCAGGCTGCGCTGGTGGGGAGAGTCATCCAACGGGACTCATTTCTTACCAAGAGATGGATCACAGCTGTCACAGAAGATCATCAAGACCACAGCTCGCTTCCCCATTCGCTGTGGGCCAAAGCAGTTCACCTCATATCTTACAGGTAACTTAGGACACTTTCAAATATCTAATTTTAATGTTTCTTAAAACACATTTTTAAAAAACGAACAATACCCTGTCATTGATGAACAGATATGGGCTCTATGGTTCTGGAAGTTCTGACGAAACCGGATCATTTGCCGATTGCAAGATCTCAGGTGGCCGGCATCTCTCGTCTCTCTCTTTCACACTCCATAAGTGGATTTTACACCATCATTTCTCCCACATCTGAGAAGCTCGGAGAGTTACAGGTGAGTGGAAATTGATATTTACCTTCCAGCTGCGCTTGTGGGAAAGTGTATTTTATGTTTGGTTAACACTAAAATTTGTGTTGTACAATGACTTAATGACTACCTCATAATTAAGAGCTATGCAGAGACTCAGCTCAAATAATTTCATCACCAGTTGTTATTCATATCCACGTCTGGTTCTTTTATCTCTTAAGGTATCACTCAACTTGGAGCCCCTAGTGGAAGCCTATGACAGCAGCAGCTCATGTCCCGCCACAGATATCAGCACTGAAGTACTGCAAGTCCCCACACTGACTGTGCCTTTGCAGCCCAGATCACTCTCAGCTGGCGGCAGCGGTGGAAACACACCCAGGTTTGAAGTTGTTCCTGTTCCTAATATAATAGTCTTCTTAGCTGTAAAAGCTGACAGGTGGTAAGTTAATCCTGGATCAGAACGTACTTATTGTATATTTTGCTGTAATGTTTTCAGAGGGAAAGACCACTTATATTTCCAAAATGAGCAAAAGGACAACGGCAAAGAAGAGTCCCTGAAGAATCCGTTGTCGGGAACAAACAGATCTCAGAACTATCAAACAGCTGTGACTCCTACCAATGATATCCTCTCAGGTTGGTTACAGAATGACTTAACATCCTTTATATACAACTAAAAAAGGAAACATTTTGCATTTGCTTGACAGCCTCTCCCACATTTTCTTCAAACACAGTTATTCTCGAGCGTGGAAACAAGCTGAGAAATGCCATGGTCGTATCAGCTTTAAAATGTGACACAGATTCTGCCCCAGCTCTGAAAGACACACCTCTGCCTCTCCCAAAGGATAACATCCTGCCACTGTCCAAGTGAGTGTTTATACATTTTGTAATAACAATGCTTTCTACCACCTTTAATGCATAGTCTATAACATTTTGTTTCTCTGTCAGCAGACCCTCCCCTTCTCCCTCTGGAACGTTTCTTCAAAATATTCTTCATGCTGATTCAGCTCTCAAGCACTGTGACGATGTTGCTGTAGTCAAAGACGATGGCTTAGATTGTCCTGCAGACATGGATAACAGAGCTGTTGATCTGCTACTTGGCAGGTACGTATGTGTGCATTAACTTCATGAGTCAACCAATACAAGCCTTTTCTGTCACCATGACTGTTAGTCTTCTTTTTTTTTTTTTTTTAATTCCTTTTTAGCCTGAACACTTCTCCTCTGCCTCCCTGGGATGAGAGCGCTGCTCCCTAGAATCTCTGTCTGGCCATAGCAGTGTGTGTGGGGACAGTGAGCTCAATGACCCTCAATATGACCAGAGCTTACTGGAAAATTTGTTTTATAAAACCCCTGTAAGTATTAAGAGCTAAAACTCCTGCAACACCAAAAATGTGTATTTTTAAGTGAAATATTACTTTAAGTTTACTTGCATTTTCTTGCAGAGAATTTTTAATTTTAATTTTTTTCTCATTTTCTTTCAGATTATAGACATGACCCAAAGTGACCCTGAGGCTGGGGAACGACAAACAGAGTCCTCCAGCCAAAAACATCCGACACAGTCTGGACCTAAGACTAGTGGACGGTAAGGGCCTTTAAATGCTTGTTAGTCCATGCTGCATCTTTTCTTAGAAGGTCAGGAGGTCACCTTATTTTTTAATTTTTTTAAATCCTTTTACTTTCTAATGTTATTTATGTGGTTCCTGTGTGCGCACCATGGTTCGTGCGTACGGATGCCATAGTCCTCCAAGCCAGCGGACTCAGGTTTGAGTCTGACCTGTGGCTTCTTTCCCGCATGTCATTCCCCACTCTCTCTCTCCCTGATTTCTGACTTTATCCACTGTCCTGTCTCTAAACTAAAGGCATATAAAGCCCGAAAATAAACATTGATTTGATAAATCTGTTATGCACAATGCATTTAAAAATCAAAGGATCTAGAAATGCATATTATTGACACGAATGCAATGAGAATAGTCTAAATTCAACCTCCTGTTATACCACTGTTTGTACATTCGAGACCATTATTTACCATATTTTGACTGTGCAGTCCAAATTCAGAGCCTAAGCGGTCTGCAGATGCTGCTGATTTTCCACCTGGCCTGAGTTCAGAGCACATGTCTTTACTGAGTTCGATGCGGCTGGCGAGAGTCACCATTGACTCTCTGACCGTACCTTCAGGGAGTTCTAACACCACACCTGGGAAAACCTCAAGTAAAGGAAAACCCCCTCGACCATTAAAAATGAAGAAGTGGTAAGCAAAGTATTTGAAATGTTTTCAACTTCTCTTTAAAAAAAATGTCATTATGAATATCACAAGTCTTTCATATGTCTTTTCTCTTTCACTAGCACATATTTCATTGAGTACCTGTTCCCAAAGGCTTCGACTTGTAGTCGACATGATCGCACTAAAGGCAGAGAAGGAGAAGTTACAAGAGCTGTTGCCAGTAAAGTCAATGGAGGAGGTAAGATCTGTAAGAATCCTTTCATTTATACGTGAGAACAATCTAACGGTATCTTACATATATTTTACTTCTTTTCCTTATTTAGTGGTCAGGTTCCACCAGCACACCGTGTTTCCTGTCTCCTCAGCACAGCAACTGTTAAACAATGGTGGGAAACTGATCTGATTTTTAAGATTCACTCACGCAACAGCGACCAAAAGAAAGTAAGTAAGAAGCTTTGGGCAAAAATGTAAACTCTTTTGATTGGTTAAAATTGGTCATATTTGTTGAGTGTCTCTTGAGTATCAACCCTGTATGTTTCTGTTTCCTACATTGGTCCCTGTCTTAATTAATTGAGGTTAGCTGTTGTGTGATAATAAATAAAAAGGCTCATCTTTGGCAGAACACAACCAAACATATTATTTCACCTTTAACATGGTTGGTATGGTTACAGATATTAATGATGTGTTCTATTGAAATGATACATTTACTCTGTCAAACACGGTATCTCATTCTGCACTGAAAGAAAAAACAGCTTCAATACAAGAGTGGAAGTAAAAAATAAAGAAGTTTATCAGTCATAACTATGATGCACTATAATGCTGTATGGTCTCTCTTGTTACAGCCTGTTCTCATTGGTAAGGCAGTTCACCCTCTGCACTGTCTGCTGCAGAGTAAGCAGCTGAGTCAGTCTGTCATCTTACCTGTGCTGAATGTGGAAGGAAACTGTGAAATGCGGCAAGTTGGACCTCTAAAGGTGACATACTGCTTTTTTTGTTTGTTTGTTTATTTTTTTTTACCCATGAATTGATGTTTGCAAGCCAGACTTTCTTAAGCAAGTTTTTTTTCCCCCCAGGTGTCACTAGAACTTGCAACAGACAACAAAGAGTTCTCCTCTGAAAAAAAAAGAAGCAAGTTGGCTTGGGGCGACACATCTCCTTCACAAACTGCACTCAGTCCACACAGAGCGAGCAGCTCCAGGCCTCAGCAGGTTGACACAAGCAGGGAGGATTTACAAGATGGCTCTTTTGGAGATTCAAGGCTTAAAGTTTGGAGTCCTCAAAAACCCTTCAAAGAACCCACTCCCCATCATGTCCTGCACACATCTCCTCATAAATCCTGTCGGCAGGTGGAGGAGGATCCTGAGGTCCTTCTGCACACCTTACTCATGGTGCCAGATGGCAAAGACTTCAACTGTGGGCCCATGCAGGCTCCCAATGTGTACTTGAACTGTAAACTGTTTTGGAGCGATGAAACTGCACGATCTGGGATCAGTTGGGGTCAGAGAAATCCATCATTCAACTTTGTTCAGGTCAGTCCAGGATATCAAGTCCTATAAGCCAGTGGTTCTCAAACTATGGTACGCGTACCACCGGTGGTACGCAAAGAAATCTCCACAATATAAAAAACAAACTGTTGTACTCTTATCTAGCTTGTATCTATTGGGTTGTATTTATATAAGAAGTATATTTAAGAAGTTTTCAATCGGGCTACAGTAGGGACGTCTTTTAAACGCACACTTCTTTATGACTTTTCTCAACCTCTTCCTCAGGTGACTCCTGTGGCCTTAACATCCAAACTGCTGGAACGTATGAGGAACAACGTGATGGTGGTTGAGGTGTGGCAGAAGACAGGAAGCTCAGCGCAAGATCGACTCCTGGGCCTCGTTAAATTACCTCTCCACCAGTTCTACATGTCGTTCAGGCAAGTCGAGTAAAGGCATAGGACAAATCATGTAAACGATAACTAGAGATTTCAAGAGGTAGAAAGCTGGAATGGGCAGTCTGTATTTGTTTGACAAAATTTACCTGAAACTTTCTTGACAATCGATTCATAATTTATGTAAGCACTCATGCAAATATAGAGAAAATTCACTCAAATATGAATATTTTTCATTTTCATATTTTTTAATTATTTTTTGCTTCTCTTTTTGTAAGATGAATTACTTTTTATAGTTACTTTTTGCAGTCAAAACAAGCTTTTAGAAAATCACAACTTTACACCTTAAGTGGACATTTTTACCAACATTTCCCCCAATTTCTTGACAGTTTCAAAACCAAATGCCTTCTCGATTGAGATTAAAGATTCTCCTTCACGGCTCCAGGAATTGTGATATTTTTGTTTGTGGGCTAAAAAGCTAAACAGACTGTTGTTTTATAGCCTGCCCTCTGGGAGGTGCTATTGCACACCTAATTCAAATAGCAGGTGGCGATGGTAATTGCAATTGTGTTTATCTAACACAAAGGTGTATTTTACAAGTGAACTAAATCTGCTGGATAAAATATGTAAAAACACATAAATACAATAATTTATAAAAGAAATGCAATAAAGCCCAAGCATGCAGAAAATGAATCAATGGAGCGTACAAACAACATTCCTTTATCATACCACAAAGCAACACAATGGTGGCACAGGTCTTTTTTTAAATTTTATAATTAGACTGTATGTACTCTCTTTTTTTTTTTTCTTTTTTACTCCCCAGGGATCCAAAGATCGCCCACCTTCTTCTCCAGGCGCAGTACCCTGTTTTAGGGGTGGACTGCTACATGCCCGTGGTTGACGTGTTCTCAGGCGGTTGTAAAGGACATCTCAGGGTTGTTCTGGCTCTGGGCCAATCAGAGCAGATAGTTGTCTTTCAGCGCACAAGGGATGAAACCTACAACTCTTTACCTCATCTTGTGAGACCAGTTCATCTGCTCGATCACCAACCACATTCTCAAACAAAGGTCAGTGTTAATGTGAGCCACACAACGCTTGAAGCATCTTTCATTATCTTTGTTGTCAACCAGATAAGTGAAGGTTTGACAGCATGTCTCATCACTCAACGCCTGCTTATAGGAAAGGTTCTTTAGAGTTGAATGAGGAATAAAATGCTGATGTGCAAATCAGTTCAAAGCTGAACTTTTAAATGAGTTAATGAGTTACTAAACACAGTAACCTGTTTTTTTTACCATGAGGAATGGTTCAAAAAGGTCATATTTAATAACAGAGTTCTATTTTCTATAAGATATACTTTGGAAAAATGTATAAGAAATGTTTAGACTCAACGCTGTGCGGACAACATGTCGACTCTCTCATCTCGTTTCACCATTGTGTTTTTCCTCAGGTCATTGAATCACGCCCGGACACTATGAGAGAACATCTGTTTGTTATTCGAGTGGAGAAGGTGAATGGGCTGACACCTCTGCAGTCAACAGTGTGGGGTGAGGCAGACTGCTACATCCAGTACAGTTTCCCCTGTCAGGAGGGAGACCCAGCTGCAAAAGTGGATGAAAACTTAATAGAGAGCAGTAAGGCTATTTGTGTGTATAAAACCTTCAAATGAAGATTTCCCAACCAGGCTTTTCCTCCTTCTGCATCACACTGACCTGAGTACTGTTATCTCTTCTCCGACAGGCCTGAACCTGAAGGTCTTTCGTACCACCACGACTCTCTGTGTCCCTGACCCGGTGTTCGGCCACACTGAGACTCATGTGCTTCTGGCTCCTGAAGGAGTTCCTGCTCAGAGGCTGCTGCTCAGCTCTCTTTCAAGTCAAGGCCTAAGCAGTGGAGGGGGGGGTCCAGTTTGAAGTGTGGTGCAGGTTTGTGTTTTTTACTGTCTTTTTACTGTCGTGTCCATGTCTTGTTTCTATCTTGTAAATCTAGCAACATCTGCTTAATGCAACCTTTAAATAGGACTTATTATACCACCTTGTCCACCTTTTAGAACATTCCCCATGTGGTCTAAATGAAACATCTGTGCTGTGCTTTGGTCAAAATATAACATGAATCAAGCACCAGAGGAGGTTTGTGACCCTGTATAAACTCTCAGAGCTCTCCTTTTTGATGTGTGTGTCTCTTTAAATGCAATGAGCCCCCCCCTGAGTTTTCCCCGTAGACATCACTCCTTCGCTAGCAAGAATAAAAATGGCGGGCCTGCCACCTTCTAGGCTGGGGGTGGATTCCATGGGTAGAGATATCAGGGGAGGGGAGGGGAGGGTCTTTTTTTTTTTTTTTTACCATGTGACATCACAAGGAGAGCACATTTGAAACAGAGCATTTTTCTCTGTGTTGTAAGACTTATACAGATCACAAACAAAGGACTGGGTGGGTTTACTTCACATTTTGTGGGTCAGTAGTCACTCAGGTTACCCAAATATATGTTCAAAAAAGTTGATTTTTCACAATATGTCCCCCTTTAAGTGTCTAAGATAGGTATTATAATGATTGCTGTTCATAGCATAGGACATAAATTTGTTTCTTACACAGTTTTTTATGTCTTTGTAGATATTATTATCCAAATGTTCGAGACCAGCTTGTCGCCAAAGGATTACTCCCGTTGTCAAAGCTGTGCGCCATGATCACCATGCAGAGACAGCATCCTGATGAGGCTCAAATGTTCTCCCTGCCCCTGATTCCCAGGACAGACAGTCCCACCGGGCGTCAGCCTCTGCCCTCAGGTACACAGACACGCAGATTTATGGTATTAAAATACTGTATTGAAACATTTAGTTTCTTAAATGTTCAGACTTCTCTGCTTTTTTTTTTTTTAAGGCCTGCTGGATGTGTGTGTTAGGTACAAGCACCGACCAATGAGAACTGAAGGGCAGACAGTTAGAGGGGCTTCTGCTCGTGTTGTGACACTCGCGGTCCAAGTGCACAGAGCGTCAGGTCTGCAGGCAGCAGCACGGTAAATCCCCACTGGCGTCCTACTTCTGTGCTTTGATATTGTCCATGTGATAGTTTGCAAAATCAGGTGTTCAAGGTGGAATGGGTGCATATTTTAAGTAGGAGGGAAACAAATGTGTTGTTCGCTCCAATGCTTTATACAAGTCAAACTGAACAGTCCTGGTGTGCACTGGATTACTCTGATCTTCAAAGCTGTCTGTTCCTGCTCTAGCTGCACCCTGGATGAGTAGCACGGCTGCGCACAGGACACCCATTGATCCTTTGTTATCAAATATCTCACTGCTATTGCCAAGAAAACTGGTTTAACTTGTGTACTTGTGTTAACTGTTGTGGGCTGACAAATTGTTATGTTCTTGATCTTTTTATATGATAAAACATCAGTTAAAGTTAAACAAAATTTGCTATATTTCTTCCTTGTACGTATTTGTGGTTGCTGCTGCAGTGTCCTCAGATTGGAATATTGCTTCTGCATTTCAGGGTTTTGTCAGAACAGGATGATAGATTCAGCTACTTTGCCGGTGTGGGAGTGAACTCGTACGTCACAGTCCAACTCTCCTTCCTGCCTGAGAGTGACAGGAGGTGCACCCGTGTAGCTGCGAGGACCTTTTGCCCGGAGTTTGACCACCACGTGGAGTTGTCCTGTGACCTGCTGGTTCAAAGGAGCAGCGGAGAAACCCGCAGCCTGGCTGAGCAGCTGGAGGAGGCCTCTGCTGTCTTCACTGTCTGGAACAAAGACAGTCGCAAAGGATTAAGTAGGCTTATTTTCTTTTTTTACCACAACATGTTAAGCTAGGTAACAGATTACACATCACTTGTTATGAATATTACCAGGCACACTTCTTGTGCTTGCAATAATGTCTTCAACACTGTTACCCTACTTGTATTTACATTTCCTTGAAGAAAGATTATGTACATGATGCAGTGAAACCAAAATTACATCTGTTATTTCTTTGTTAATGTAAACAGAGATCCTCCAAGTATAGGCTAAAAAAAATTATGTACAACAGATTTGTATTGTATGGTATTGAAATAGTGTTTCTGTATCTGTTCAATTCAAATTGTAGTCCCTATTTTCAGTATCTAAGGGGTTAATTTGTTGTTTTCCATTTGTTGCCGCAGTGCTTGACCAAAAGCGGAAGGATGTGATGTTGGGAACAATGAAAATACCGCTGGCCGATCTCATAAATAAAAGAACAGGTAGGCTGCACTCTGACAGACTGCTTGGTCAACTAGGTATCCTTAAGGACAAATAGTCATTATGCTTTCTTTGTTTTTTATATCAGGTATATCAGGCTGGTTTGGACTTTATATACCACAAGATACAAGTTCCTCTCAGCACCAGCACATCTTGGTTGGGGGCCTTGAGATCTCAGTTAACTTCGCCCACCACTCGGACAGGGAAAGAGTCATTAAAGCTGCTCAAGGCGTGGGCTGGGAAAGAACCCAGAATGAAATGCAAGATGAAGAAGAAGAAGAAGAAGACTGGGAGAACAGCACAAGAAAAATCTCTTTGACTTTTTCGATGCCTAGAGTGTGGATACCTGTCCATTGTTTACTCCTGCCGGGCCACAGTGAGCTGCAGCGATCCACTTACTGCTACTTCAGGTACAAGTTCTACGACCAGGAAGCTTTCTGCTCACAGATGAAACACCCCTCTGTTGAGGAGGAAGGCCAAGCCACTGTGACTTTCCAGGGAAGTAGAAGTGTGGAGCTGATGAGCACTCAGCCCTTGATGTGGTATCTTCGAGAGGAGAGGCTGGAGGTACAGGTGTGGGTGGCCTTTAAAAAAGACAAAACCCAAAGGCCCCGAGATACAGACCGACTGGTTGGTTCAGCTTTTGTCGATCTGTCTTCTCTTGCAAAGACGCCTAAGCAGAAGCTCACTCTTAGTGGTAAGAAGTTATAGATATTTTTTTATTCATTAAAACTCTAGCTATATTTCTGTGTGTATTCACAGTTTTGTGATATTACAGGAGTGTATCCGCTGTTCAGGCGCTCAGCAGCTGATCTACAAGGGGCTGCACTCAGGGTGCACATTACCCTCACAGTTGGTTTGGTCCCTATGGAGGTTCCTGCTGGGGTTGACGCCCAGGTGGACTCAGACAGCCAGGCAGAGCTCTTACCGGAAGAGACAGAAGCAGCAAATCGAACCCCTTCGCCCGAAAAGTCCCGAACACAGAGTAGACACAAGAACAAATCCACCAGAGCAACTCCAGACTTTCCATCAGTTCAGCACACAGAAACGAGCCTGGATGAATCTTTCCCTGTGACTGTGACAGTGGACAGTGCGATGCACCTGAATCTGAAAGGTGAAGATTGATCTCTTTTTCTCTCCACCTTTTTTCTTTTTATGTATTAAATAAACAATCTCATGTGTTTCCCTTGAAGGCTGTCCTCTTACAGAGCGCAATGGAGGGACGCTGTGCTGCTGTGTTTCGTACCTCACTGCAGACTCTGATGAACCTGCGTCCACGGCTGTCATAGACAACTCAGACTGCCCTGTTTGGGACCATCAACATGAGTGCAGGTCACCTATACAAGAAATATTACTCTACCTGTAAATCTGTCACTGAAACACATCAAAATAAGGCTGATAGTTTTTTTTCAATTTACAGGCTTTCAAAACAGCTACTGGTTGATCCACAGCAATCTCTTGTGTTCAAAGTCTGGCATAAAGGAGGTACAGAAAGCACTTTCACTTTTAGATGTGTTGCAGATTGACATTTTTTGATTTATTTCTTCACTCTTGGGTTGACTTACTTCCATAGAAATGGAGAGGGTGCTTGGATTTGCCTCTGTAGACCTGTCCCCCTTACTCTGTGGGTTCCAGTCAGTGTGCGGTTGGTACAACATCACAGACTTCAGTGGTCAGTGTCACGGCCAGCTCAAGGTGTCCATCACTCCACTGAGAGGACTCCAAGACCTCCGAGGACAGAGAAAAACTGTGAATGAGGAAGCTGCCACAAACTCATCAGTGAGAGAAAATATTTTTATAGTGTGCTTTTATTTTATTTTATTTTCTTAATGGGTGATATTGACAAATGTGTTTGATTGACAGGCTTTATTCCAGGCGCTTCCTCTCAGCTATCATACCACAGCAACTTACACCAGCTTTCCTGCTCACATCAGTCGATACTCCGAGCAGAAGATTTCCTCACCTGACCACACAGACCGGCTGTTCTCTGAAAGGTATCTCAGACATGTTTTGTAAACTAAGTGTTTAAAACCTATTAACACATGCCCCAAAAAGCGTCCGCTGCCTACTGTTTACTTAATGTTTTATCCCTACAAATACTCAGATCCAGTGAGAGTGATCGCCATTTTGAACACATGGACAAAGTTCGTCTTTACCATCAGAGTCTGCAGGAGCAAACGGCAAATAATTCTATTGGTAGCAGCATTGCTGCAGACATCAACCCATCCAGCTCCTTCCTGTTTTCAGCACTCAGGTATCATTCCTCACACAGAAAGTCACTCCTCATTGCTTTGTTGATTTTTAAGCATTATCTTAAAACCTGAACTTTAACATCAACTCTTTCATCTCTGCAGGAAAAAACTCAGTGAGCTGGACAACATCCAGAGATACTTCAGCCGCAAGCTTTCAACTCCCACATTCCCGCCCGTGATTGAGCAGGATGTTCAAACCAAGCATGAGGAGGAGAGGGACGCCGAGACAGACTCATGTCAGCTTCTTCTCAGGTCCAACCAGTTAGTCGGAGAAGTCAACAATATCATTAGTGGTGAGATAAAGATGACCCATATTAGCAAGCTATGTGCTCAATATGACTGGATTTAAATGAACTTAGTATATAGAGGTCATCACCTTCAATTCATTACAGACGCAGTCTTCTGTGTAGCTCACACAGTGGATGCATTCCTCTGAAGAAGGAACAACGTTGCTCTTTGGTGTCACTCTTAAAGTGACCATGCTATGTATACCTAGAAAATGTATATCAACTAATATCAAGCACAGTACTAAAGATCTGCAACTATTGTTTTTATTAAGCTATAGATAATTAAAATGTTATTACAAAGAGAATATTTAAAAAATAATTTGTATAACTTCAAAGCTGAGGAATTCAATCAGAGCAACTGCAGAAAATCAACGATGAGATGCATTAACTGCTACATTTTTTTAAAGCTCCTTCTATGACGGTTATGACTTTATTGTAGACAGGTCAGTAGATGGAGTAGTGAATCAAAAAGGGTCAGATAGTGGGGAACGACATGTGTCAAAGTGCTGAGAGAGATGATCTTGATCGCTAGAAGAAAAAGAGGACAGACAAAGATTGTTCAGTCAGAAATAAGCCTGAGTATTGCTTAAATCTCCGTTGTCCTTTTCACCCAGGTCTACAAGGACACAACCCAACAAAGATTCCCTCAAATCTACCGAGCAGCTCAACAACTTCCCCCTTTGCTGACAACAACCTGCAAACTATCACTGAGTGTCTCTCCAGTCCACGCAGAGCTTCAAACTCTTCCCAAGAAGATGTGTTTCGTATGTTGACGCCTCTGCCAAAGATGCCTGACGACAAGTGGGACTCTGAGCCTGAGGAAGAAAACAACAGACATAACAACCAAGCTTCTGTGTCTGAGGACGAAAACAAAGAAGGGTCAGATAGAGATGAAGACAGCACCGAGCTCAGAGAGGATGAGGAAGCTGAAGAAGACGATGACGGAGACTACGACGTGATCGTTTTGCAGCCGAGACCTCTGAATGAAATGACCTCTTTAACAGACAAAACCAGTCCTTGGACCAGCATCATGTCTGACCCTGATCTGGTTTCTCTTCAAAGCTTGGAGGCATCTGAGGAGCCTGATCTGAGCCAAGATGACGGAGAGAATTGGCAGATGGTTAATCTCCAAACTAACGAAAGTGGTGAGAAACACGAGTTTACCAGAGGAGAAGTGAGAGAGCGCGATGATGAAAGTTTAAACGGATCAGCAGAAGATGTTTCAGACGTAGACAGACATGTTGAAAGGACACCACGAGTTGTACATGAGAGAGGAGAAGAACCCGACAGCATGAATGAAAAGAGTTCACCACCCAGAACACAGCACACCACAGATACCCATGATGCTTCAGGCACCCAAGACAATCAAGACACTCCACCCAAACTGTATCCTTGATCAGAAGTTGTTGTTTCCTCATCATCATCATACGATTTTTTGCTTCAGAAGATCATGAAATATAAAAAGAAACAGTTTAATGAGAGGTTAACCTTTAGTGAGCATGGAGCTTACAGTTAGCGTGGGAGATGTTTGTTTTAGGGCGCTCTGCAAGAAGGCTTTTTCATCCAGCTCTCTACTTATTAAGTGAAGGTAAAACTCATGGTTAGGGCTCAAATAATGTGTCAATGTTGACTTTTTGTGTCACTCTGAACACAATCAGCAGTCATCGTCATGTGTTGTTTACTCTTGCTCCCACCCCAACTCTTCCCTTCATGGGCTTTGTTGCTTTTCTAAACTACGCTGCCTCACGCTTTTCTGAAGACTGGAGCAGAAAGACTTGAAAATAAACTTCAAATGCAAACATAGTCACAGGCGATCCATTAAACTGATAAGGGGATTGAAATAATAGTATATAATTTAACCTTGTTTTAATTATGTAAAATATGTATAAACATATGATATTGTAGTATTAAAATATGTATTAAGGTTGCTGGTTTAGCGTCGGCTAAGAAATGATTTCAAACACGTATGTGTGATGTTAAACAAGAATACATGGGATGTCCAGGCATGCAGCCTCTGCTACATCGCTCTTAAAAAGTTTAGCTCTGGATGTCACAAAACTAAAGCATAGATTCTTCAAGACAAATTTAAAATCCTAAACCATCTCTCTCTGCTTGTGCTTTTAATTTGATGACATCATCATCATTAGGCCTTTATGGTTTTTCCCGCTATATCTCTTGTATCAACTTGATTTTGCCTGTTGTACTATACCCTCTTCTTGTTTATCTTCAAGTTTTTTTTTTAACAATCTACATCAAGCTCGGTGCCTGTGGAGGTTCCCAATTTCTTCCTGCCCTCTCACCAGCTGGAGGCATCTATGAGAGCCATACGATTAGCTCCTTCTTTCTCTCAGGCGTCCTGTGACACAGTGAGTATTTGTCACCACCTCTGACATCCACCACCTCTTACTCCTCCTTTTACTTTCAACTCTCTGTGCAGCTTCATGCTCAAACTATTCTCATTGTCATCAGAATGTCATGGTATAAACTTTAACCCCCTGTAGATTTAGATTAGTCTTTAATTACATACCGTCCTATTAGTAGTGTTACATGTTCCCACGTTTCAGAGATCTTTTTAACTAATAAAACATCATACAACAGTGGTTCTCAAACTATGGTACGCGTACCACCGGTGGTACGTGGGCTCCCTGTGGTGGTACGCAAAGATACTAGCTTGTATCTATTGGGTTGTATTTATATCAAATGTGTTTTCCGCTCTAAATTAATCTAGTTTTTGCAACAAACAACTTTAATTTGCTTAATTTATACTCGCGCACAGACATCAACAATAACAGGAGTACGCCTCGTGTTTTGAAAAGTTCCACTCGATATTCCGTTCAGTACTGAATCAACAGCCAGCAGCTGTAGGCCTACAGATATTCTGTTAATGTAGGCCTACATTAACAGATATTCTGTTATTTATTGGAGTTCAGCACACAATCGGCAGCAAGCAGCCCTACATTAAAATTTTTAAAACGGAGCCAGGAGAAGCTTCAGTTTTGACGCATGTACGGACAGCGGACCTTATCGCTCCCCCTCCCTCCCTCTCTCTCTCTCTCTCTCTGTAGCTCTGAAGCTGATGTGATTCTGCTCTCTTTTCATGTCTTAACACTCCGTGGGAGTCGAGAGGGATCTTTTTTTAAAAAGGCAGTTTTGCTAAGTTGAACGCAGAGACTTATAATAGAGTGGCGCTGTTTGCACCGAGCCTGTGGAGCGTGCGCCTGCACTCTCACGCGCTCTCTCTCTCTCTCCCCCGCTACATCTCGTTCTCTCAGCCACGCAGCAATTTTATGAATAAATGAAAAATTTAATGAGAACAGGTCGGAAATATACTTGGGCCCAGGTATCGTGTTTGTGTGGGAAACAGTGGAGACTAAATATTTCCAAACAGGTTGTTGGTATAAAGTTGTCATTTTTATTCTTCTGCACTTTTGTGTGTTCAAGTTCTAGCACTAGCCCTTAGTAGTCCTACAGTGTGGCTGCCAGCAGTCAATAATAAATAATGAATTAATTTGCCTCTTGCATGAAATGTGTGTTGAAATAGGCCTACAGTGTATTTTAACGTCTACCATAATGGCAGTACTTGGAGAGCCAAATATTTTCGGAGGTGGTACGCAGTCTAAAAAGTTTGAGAACCACTGTCATACAACATAGAATTTAAAACGTAAAAGTAGGTTGTAATTAATAGATCATTTCAGATTTGGCTTGATGCACATTGAACACAAGCCAGGCTAGAATAGAGACATTGTGTTTAAGTTCAGTGTAATTTAACTCTCATTTGTGCAACAATAACAGGTCCAGTTACACCCACTTTTATTTAATCTGACGTGCAAATATGTCATTTACATTCTGCACATAATCTTCCAGGAGTTTCTATCCACCCGGTGTCCTTTTGTTCCAATCCATTGTTTACACTTCAATGGAAATGGTGTCATCTATCTGCTCTCATGTGCTCTCTGTTACAGTCCTTTTATATTTCCTCAGTATCTACAGTCAATAGCTGTTGCTTGTTTGAACAGTTTCAGAAAACGTTAACATTCCCTCTGTCACCTATAGTGCGCTCTGTTTAGGGACACTGTGATGATGTAACCAAAGGTTTACTGTAGCAGTTTTATTGCACAAACCAAACACTTCCCTTTGTCCTGATGAATGTTTGTCCTCGACAGTTCGAGCTCAAACATTCAACAAAAACGATTATATAATAAAAAACAGAGTGTTACGAGGGGTTTTATTTTTGAATTTCAGGGCATGGAGTTTAACTAAGATGGTTTATTCTATTATATTAAATGGGCTATATGTAACTTTCAAAAATACTGCGTTTGTAGCGATACCGCAGGCTGTTAGGCGAACTGCACCAGTAACCTGTTGCTTGCTCTCGCTCGCGTGCTCGTACGTACACAAACGAGCATCATCATCGGCCGCGAAACACTAGATATTTACCGGCATAATGTTTACAGAGGAGGTAAAAGTGTGAAAGTCTGTGAAGGAGTCTTTGTGTCTGTACTCATTCTCCATCCTACAAAAACGACACTCTCGGTAGGAACTGGCTGAGAGCAGGAGTGTGTGATGAGTTTGTCCGCCTTTGGGAGCTCCTAGGGCGGATAGAAGTGTGTGGAAGACGGCCTCTGGCTGTAGCGGGGAGTGTGTGATGAGTTTGTACTGTTGATCTCTGTAAGCGGAGCGGAGTGAGGAGGACGTCGAGAACGCGCATATAACATCACTTCCTGGAGCTTAATACGAAAAATACGACCCGGGGAAAAATTTTATACAGGCAACACAGATGTGAACATCTACTTTTTCATATCCGTTAACCGTTCACTTATTAATGGGCGATAAAAAACGATTTATACCTTTAAGTAATACAAATATACCAAAAAGAATCAACATCAAACTTGAACATTATTCTCTATATATAGATAATTAGATCTGTAATAAGGGTAGGTATAATAAGCTGAAGCGGTGAAATAGTTCTTGTCTTTTCTTGAAAGCGAATGCCTTTGTTATTATGTTTTTTTATTCTACTATTTATATGCATATTCCTAATAGAAAACTGTATACGTGGACCGAAATAAATGACTACTCCTAAAACTACTATATGCAGTTAGATAATATAAACAAACAAAATCACAATGCAACTTCGTAAGTTGTTGAAAAAACAACATTTTATTTTCTTCTGTTCCTCTGTTCCTTCAGTCACAATAAACCTTAATGGCTGTTTAAACACACACACATACATAACTACTGTACATTGCATTATGGATTACGTTTAAAGGAGTGTGCGAGAATGACATTCATACTTTTAGTTTAAGGTGGGGTTTGATGTGTTTGAGGAACAGAACGCTCAAAGAAGAGCTAATAAATGGTTGCATGCTGTAAATCCTACTTAATAGTCTTCTTATTAAGAAACATTAACTGAAGCCTTGCCTTGCTTGACTTGTGACGTTACCACACACCTTAAAAAACACAACAAGCTAACCTTTGACTTACTGGTGTGTTTGCTTTTAGTCACACCTTGCACATGTACCTTTCTACTTCTAAGTACTAAATTCTGAGGTTCAAAGTGTTATTGATGCAAAACTCACTGAAGATGTGTTTCTGTTGTGACCTTTACAGGGTCGAGGCTCTTCAGGTCACAGGACGACACATCTCCGAGGTCCTCGACAGCGACCCGACATGTCGCCATCATCCATGAAGAAAGAGACTGAACGGATAGCTAAAATATTTGCTGCTCACTTTGACGACAGTTAACATCCTGTGGTCTGATCGTATTTGAACAGCTCAATGGAAGAATGAAAAAGCCTTAAAAGATCATGTAACTTAATATAATATTTTGTATTTTTTATAAATAAACAGGAACTGTTACCGGTTTTTATAAATGTCTCTTTTTAGATTCTCTTTACAAAAATAATGAATGCGTTCTGATGTTCATGATAAATGTGGCAAGGCTTGCATTATTTTCCAGATGTGAGTGCGTTGGGAATCTGAAACTCGTCACTACACTGCTTCCTGATTACTTTTCAAATGAAAAGACATTGGTAAAAACTTAAAGTGCAATTCAACCAAATGTAATAAAAACATTTAATATCTTTATCTTATTAAAAACAGTGGAGTCATTATAGCTACTGTTATATCGGCCGTCAACCTCTTTCATCTTAACTGTTGGCCAGCTAACTTTAGGCTACTCTGAACTTCACGGCAACAGAATTTAAGCTTATCTTTTTTTATTGTGTTGCGCTGTCTAACAGTAATGTAGCGAGGTATAGGTCCAGTCAGACCCTCTTGTATAAAATAGGAAAATAATCATAGTATTGCAGTGAAAAGGCAACTGACCATGTATTTGTTGTTTATTTACTAAAACATTTGATTGACACTTTATTTGGTTGTAAAATAATTGAGATCTTACGGCCACGTGGCCATGACTCAACAAAAATAGAAGTTTAATGTTGGCATTAGAAATTTCCAAAAGGCTCCAAAATTAAGAGATCTCAAGTTTAGTTTAGTTTCTGGATTATTTTAGCTGTGGCAACCTGTTACAGGACCAAGCCCTTCATCATCCATATACCTTTAATAAACTGGTAGGTAAATCATTTTCACCTTCAGTAATTAGTTAAAATAATCTACATTATTACTTTTTTGTGTGTTGGGATGTCAATATGTTTTCATTTCGCTATGAAGGTTGGCATTTTTATGGCTTAATGTGGAGAAACTCATTTTCTGAGCCAGCCTCAAGTGGCCACTTGGAGAGGGAACTGCAGTTTTGGCACTTCCTTTTCTTTATCTCTGCCGTGCAGGTTGCCGCCTGCATCTGCGCCTGCATGTGTATCTGTAAAGGGTTTTTCTTGAGGGCGTTGCAGCTCTCTGGAAGGAGTCAACAAGTGTGCAGGAGAGGCTGGACTTGTAGTCAGCACCCAGCCTTCTCTCTCTCAGCTCACCGTCGGCCGCTCGACCTGCTGCCGGCTGTTTTTAGTTTCTCTGAGTTTATATGGGAGGAGGCCAACTGTTGCTTTTCTTATTTCTTCTCAGTTTAAATTGACATGACAGTTTGCTGCTTTTTAATGGCGACGACAGGAATTAGCTTTCGGATGACTGACTTTTCCATACCTGACACTTGACGTTGGCGGTAGCCCACCTGGACTCACCATGAGGGGACGTGTTTTTAGAATATTTAACTTGTATGAGTAGCAGCAGCCAGCGGACAAGGTACTGAAGCGGTTCTCTGTTGTTGAATCGAAGTTCATTTGTGGATAAAACATTCATCATGGTTGGTGTGAAGAGCGCAGATTTGGCCCCTACAGTCGCTGTCAAGGTCTTTTCAGCTGGAGCAGCTGGCTGTGTGGCCGACCTGGTCACTTTCCCCCTGGACACAGCCAAAGTCAGACTGCAGGTGAGGATCAGTAACTTCACAGAGAGGCAGAGCTGTCAGGCAGAACCCCGACATGTTACTGGGACTAGACCTAAAACATTTGTAATTTCCTATTTCTAGCTCTTCTTAATCATTCCTTCTTCAACATTACATCCCAGTACACGTTTTTTTTTTCTCAAAGAAAAGGCAGGTGTAAGTTTAATGATTCAGTTAAATCAGCTTCAAAAGAAAACTCACCATGAGTATTTTACATCATCAGAAAACAAACATCTCTGATTTATAAAACCTCTAAATTCATTCAAAACAACACACTTTGTGTGGTCGATGGTTATTAGTGCTAAGGAGAAATATTTAAACACTAGTCCATGTAGCTCTATGTCAAACCAGGGTTGTAACATTTATAACAAATAAAAACATAATAATTGCTTAAACTTCAAAAGAAACTGATTTGGTTGTTATAGAAACCCCAAATGCATATTTCTACCAGCACACTGTTGAGAAACTCAGTGACACGTGTTTATTTGTGTTGCATTTTTTTCTTTTTTAGATTCAAGGTGAGTCCAAGCCTCCTTCTGGGGGTCAGAGGGCCAAATACAGAGGTGTGTTTGGTACCATCTCCACCATGGTGAAGACCGAGGGCCCGAGGAGCCTGTACAGTGGACTGGTGGCTGGACTGCAGAGGCAGATGTGTTTCGCCTCAGTCCGCGTCGGCCTGTATGACACCATGAAGCAGTTCTACACCGGGGGCTCAGACAGTATGTGCAATAATGTTCCCACAAATACTGACACAAATAAAGCGCTCAAGTCCCACTGAGGAGGTGCCGGAACCTGTAGGTAGAAATAGAATAATGACTTTCAGTTTGCTTGTTTTCCAACAGAAGCATTGGAACTTAACATTAAATAAGAAAATGGGTAAAGCAGAGGCTTTTATAAGGGAAACTAACCCTGCTGCAATTTTGTTTCAAAAATAAGTTTTAGATTATTTTTCAAAAGGATGTTAACATTTTTACAGTTGCAAACATAAAGACAGCTGGGGTTTACAGGGTCACCACATGTTCTTTAACATTGTTAAAACTATAGAAGAGAAAAAAGGAACATCTTTGATAGTAAAATATAATATTTAAGTGCAAAGAAAGCCTGACAGATGTTCTCCAAATGCAGAGCTGCTTTGTCCAAACTGCTCTGACATAAATCCAGCTCGGGGGGGATATAGAGCACAGGGCAGATTCCTCTGTCAGTGAACAGATCTGTGTTTACGCTGGGGGCCTTCCCTGCTCAGCATCCATCATGGCAGTGTCGTTAACTTTAAAGGTTTCATCTTTGGACATAACTCAAGTATGAAGACCAGGTTTCCACATCCAGTGTCTGTCTGCTGATAACCAGTTAAACCTGCAGCGTTAGCAAGCAGAGTTGTTTGTATTTCACTTTGCACTATATGTCTATACTGTAGAGTGAACTATTTCCTGTCTCTGTCCAGCCTGTAGTCTTACACCTTTCAACTGTGGAGTGTTGTTTATTGTTTGCCAGGACCATATGATACTGGCAGATAATTTACAAGGCCAACCTGACAGCCATATTCTTATTTTGAGTCGACTTCATTTCACTAGTTAATCGTGTAATCCTCATCAGAAGTGCAGCTCTGTGCAGTCTCTTATCACTATGTGAACTTGCTCATTGCTTCAAATTAAAACACTTCTAATATGCATTGGTTGTATCACAGATGCAGGAATTGGGGCTCGGCTGCTGGCAGGCTCCACCACTGGAGGGATGGCGGTGGCCTTCGCTCAGCCAACAGATGTAGTGAAGGTCAGGTTTCAGGCTCAGATCCGCCTGCCTGAGAGCGGCTCTGTGAAGAGGTACAACAGCACAATCGATGCCTACAAAATCATTGCCAGAGATGAGGGCTTCAAAGGGCTCTGGAAAGGTAATTTAGAAAGCTGGGAAATGTAATGACATTTTATGTCACTGCTGAGTAGGCGTTACAGTTTAAAGACTAAAAATCATTAAAGGTCTCTAGATGGTTGGCTTTGGAAGTATAAGTCATTGGCCGTGTCTTATATTTACTGCTGTTTTATCAAAAGTCGTAAACTTGAAAAATATCCAGTCTTAAAATGGAAGGGGAATAGAACTGCGCATGTGAAGAAGTAGTTTGTTTTCCTAAATTAGTCAACTGAAAAAATGCCCTCGAGTGATGTCACTCAGGGCAATTGAAGTCTGTTGAAGTTTGAAACTAGACGTTTAAATTTAAAAAAGAAATCTGGAGATATGGAGGTAGAAATGAACTTACCAGACACATGTTGTCTTCTTCTTATTAGTGACATACTGTAAGACCACGTTAGCTTCTACTATCAAAGCACATAAAAGGATTGACAGCTATGATTGCTAGTGGTTGCATTGAATTGTGGGCAATGTAGGCAATAGGTTTTGGCAAAGAAGAAGAAATAAATGATGATATTTCTGACTGTACATGGTCTTTTGTTATTCTAAAAAGTTCTGTTTTTTCTTATGCTAGATTTATGGAATATCCTTTTATAGTTCCTCAGGTTTGATCGTATTATTTTAAATGATTGAAACGTCCTTTCAGGTTGCCTGCCAAACATCACTCGTAATGCCATCGTAAACTGCTCTGAGCTGGTGACCTATGACATCATTAAAGAGCAAATCCTGAAGTCCAACCTGATGACAGGCAAGTGTAAACATTTCACTCTTAGTCAACACAGTGTTTTCCGAGGCCCTTAATAACTGAGTCAGTATTTCTTTTTGGGCAGACAACATGCCGTGTCACTTCATGGCCGCCTTCGCAGCAGGTTTCTGCACCACCATCGTAGCATCTCCAGTGGATGTGGTGAAAACCCGCTTCATGAATTCAAGGCCTGGGCAGTACAGCGGTGCTTTGAATTGTGCCTTTACCATGCTGATTAATGAGGGACCCACAGCGTTCTATAAGGGGTGTGTTGTGTTGCTATCAAAAGTAAACATAAACACAAAAATCAAAAGTTAAACAAAGCAAAAAGTCGGGGGAAAATGCAATTTTTCCTGATTTACTGTGTTCCCTTTTTTAGATTTATTCCATCGTTTCTCCGTCTGGGCTCCTGGAACATCGTCATGTTTGTGAGCTTCGAGCAGATTAAGAGAGCTGTGATGAGATGTCAGCAGTCCTGGGACTCTCCGCTCTGACCTGTCTGACAGCTGCTTTGGCACTGGAGTGGTGTAACTGGTGTGTCAAATACAGGACAGACATCGTCACACAGCACGTGCCTCACAGGGACAGTAATGACTGCTGCTGGTACAGACCTGTTTTTTTCTCAGGGTTAAAACTGAATGTTTTGTTGAAAGTGAAATTTTATTTTTCTCATGAATACTGCATGTGAAAAATGTATACTTGTATGTGAATTCTTGAGATGCAATTAATGTGTATTTTCATTATGGATCAACAGCTTGTTAAATGCACAGTATGTAAATTCCGTCTCAGGTGGCTCTCAATCAAAACAATAACAAAAGATGACGTT